CCCAGCTGTCAGCGCCGCGATCTGGGGACGGGTGCAGTGAGCTGTCATGGAAGGCGGATGCGAATGACGGCGACGACGACGACGACGACGACGACGACGACAACGACGAGGACGACGCCGAGGACGAGAGCGAGAACGACGAGGACGAGGACGAGGACGACGCCGAGGACGACGCCGAGGACGACGACGACGAGGACGAGGAGGAGGAGGGCGACGACGATGACGACGACGAGAAAACAGAACAGCCCACCTGAGAGGAGGCGCGTGGCGGGCGGGGAGCCCTGGGCTCTCGAGGGGTAGCTTCACGACACGACGTCCAGAGGCGGCCATTGCGAGTTCGGACCCGCGGCCGACCTCGCTCGAGGGCGTCGGAGAGAACTGCCCCTCAGCAGGATCACTGCGAGGACAGGATATACCTATACGACCACCCTTCGGGTGATAGGGAGGTTCGGGGGGGGGAGGAACCAACGTCTGACTCGATCGGTCTCACTATCGATCTCACTATCGCTCTCAGTATCGGTCTCGCTCGATCGATCTCCCTCGATCGATCTCACAATCGATCTCACTCGATCTATCTCACAATTGATCTGACTATCGAGCTCACAATCGATCTCACAATCGATCTCACAATCGATATCACATTCGGTCTCACCATCGATCTCACTATCGATATCACAACCGCTATCACAATCAACGTCATCATCATCATCATCATCATCATCAACAGCAACATCAACATCAACATCATCATCACCAACATCATCATAATCGGGACACCGTCCTCATCATCAACACCAACATCATCATCACGGTCATCAACATCATCGGGACACCACCATCATCATCATCATCACCATCATCACAATCATCAATATCATAAACATCATCATCATCAGCAGCATCGGGACACAGTCATCGTCATCATCATCAGCAGCAGCATCATCGGGACACCATCATGATCACCATCGTTATCATCATCATCATCATCATCAGCATCATCATCATCGGGACACCATCATTATCATCTCATCCTCATCATCGACATCATCAGCATCATCAGCATCATCAACATCATCATCAGCATCATCATCATCGGGGCACCATCATCATCATCATTACCATCATCAACAACAACATCAGCATCAACAACAACATCAGCATCATCATCATCATCATCATCGGGACGCCATCATCATCAACATCATCATCATCACCATCAGAATAATCATCATCATCGGGACGCCATAATCATCATCCACCTCATCATCATCAACATCATCATCATTATCGGGACACAATCATAATCAGCATCATCGTTATCAACATCATCATACTCATCATCATCGGGACACCATCATCGTCATCGTCATGATCATCAACATAATCATCACGATCATCATCATCCTCATCATCGGGACACCATCATCATCATCATCATCATCATCATCATCATCATCATCATCATCGGGACACCATCATCATCATCATCATCATCTCATCCTCATCATCGACATCATCAGCATCATCAGCATCATCAACATCATCATCAGCATCATCATCGTCATCGTCATCATCATCATCATCATCATCATCATCGACATCATCATCATCATCATCATCATCAGCAGCATCATCATCGGGACACCATTATCATCATATCATCATCGTCCTCATCATCATCATCATCACCATCATCATCATCATCGTCATCATCATCAGCAGCATCATCATCATCATCATCAGCATCACCATCATCATCATCATCATCTCATCATCATCATCATCATCTCATCATCATCATCATCATCATCATCATCATCATCATCATCATCATCATCATCATCATCATCGCGGGACACCGCGGGACACCGGCGACACCGGCGGGACACCGCGGGACACCGCGGGACACCGCGGGACACCGGCGGACACCGGCGGGACACCAGCGGGACACCGCGCGCCACCGGCCGCCCGGAAGAGACACATTTGGTCCGGCCGCGCCTCAGCCACAGGGACACCGACGGTACACCGGCGGGACACCGGCGGGACACCGCGCGCCACCGGCCGCCCGGCGGAGAATCATTTGGTCCGGCCGCGCCTCAGCCACAGGAGACTGTCCTCTAGCCCGCCCACGCAGCTTCGCCTCGCCCGCACGGCACGCACGAACACGAAACCGAAATCGATTTCCAGGTAGGGGGGCTCTCTGTTCACTTCGATCTCACCCCCTCACCTCCGATCTATGAGAAGAAAGAACACCATAAACATGAATGTTTGGCGCTCCGCGCGGGTTTCTTGGATCTGCGCTGGGCCCCCCTCCCTGGCGCGCTCCGCGTTCCAGGGGCGGCGCCGGGGAGGGGGGCCCAGCGCGGATCCAAGAAATCCGCGCGGAGCGCCATCCGTTTATGTTTATGGCGTTTTGTCTTTTCGAATATCCATATCCACCGCCTGTGGAATGGAACCGACGTCCTGAGACCGCAGCTGGCGTTGACCATGAATCGGAGGTTAGGGGGTGAGCTTGCAGTGGAACGGAGAGCCCCCCAAAACAAGAAATCGGTTTCGGATTCGTGTTCGTGTCGTGCGGGCGGGCGGGGCGAAGCTGCGTGGGCGCGCGAGAGGCATGATCCCGCCGTCGCTATAGTGCGATTCGGATGCAAAAGTCCGGCTCTCAGGTGGACGCGCGGTGGCTGGGGGTGTCCCGCCGTGGCGCCTCGCGATGTCCCGATGGTGTCCCGCGGTATCTCGCCGTGGGCGCGCGAGAGGAATGATCCAGCCGTCGCCGGGACGATTCAGATGCAAAAAAATGGCCCTCCGGCGGGCGCGCGGTGGCTGGGGGTGTGCCTTCGTGGTGTCCCGCGTTGTCCCGATGGTGTCCCGCGGTGTCCCGGCATGGTTTCCCGACGGTGTCTCGTAGTGTCCCGAAGTGTCCGTGGTGTCCCGTGGTTCCCGATGGTGTCCCGCGGTGTCCCAGCGGTGTCCCAGCGGTGTCCCGCGATGTCCCGCGGTGTCCCGCGGTGTCTCGCCGTGGTGTCCCGCGTTGTCCCGATGGTGTCCCGCGGTGCGGTGCCCGCCGTGGTGTCCCGACGGTGTCCCGCGGTGTCCCAGTGGTGTCCCGCGGTGTCTCGTTGGTGTCCCAGTGGTGTCCCGCGGTGACCCGCCGTGGTGTCCCGATGGTGTTCCGATCGCACTCAGCGCCTCTCAGTGTGAGATGGCTACTGGGGTCGATCGCTGGATGCATCGATACCAAAAGTGGCCGTGAGGTCGATAGTGAGACCGATCGAGTGAGATCGATAGCAGGGCCGATAGTGACATCACATGGCGGCGCAACATCGTCATCACGCGTCGTCGCCTACTCGAGGGCGCGCCACCAGCATCGTCATCATCACACCCATCGCAGTTGTCAGCAGTTGGTTCGTTCCCCTCCCCAAAACCTCCTTATTACCCGATCGGTAGTCCTCGGAGGTAGATGAGGGCCCCAGGGGGCCGAATATATTCATCCACCCTTCGGGTGATGAGGTTGTGGGGAGAGAGGAGCCAACTGATGACAACTGAGATGATTGTGATGATGGCACCATTGGGACACCACGGGACACCGCGGGGCATCTTCAAGACACCATCGGGACACCTCCGGGACACCACCGGGACACCAATCGGGACACCAATCGGGACACCAATCGGGACACCACCGGCCAGACACCATGGGGACACCATCGGGACACCACCGGGACACCACCAAGCCACTACCAAAAGACCACCAAGACATCATCGGAGCACCATCGCAACGCCATCAGCACAGCGCGGGACACCACGGGACACCACGGGACACCATGGGACACTCGGCACACCGTCGAACCGCGGTGCACCACGTGGAGAACCATAGAGCCAGCGACAACATCGAGTCTTGTGTTGCTCCCATCGTACTTAAGATCCACATCCCAGAAATAATTTCGAGCACCCAGAAAAGTGTCGAAACAGTGTCGAAACAATGTCGGACGAGTGTCTCCCAGGACCCGACACGTGAAAACCCTCGAGTTTCGGTACTTCTGGTGGTCAAGGCTGAAGTAGGTTGGAACATCCTGAATCGAGTCGTCGGCACGCAGTCGAAATCTTGTCGAGGCGCCGCCAGGGCGCCTTCGGCACGGGCCGCAGGGCTAGGCCAGGGGTGACCACCTCTCGGCGGCCACAGCACTTGAATGGGAAACGTACCGAGACCACGGAGCAGCACTTGCCCTACGTTGGGGGCGTTCGTTAAGGAATTTGCCTCTGGTGGGGGGCAACGATAGGGGGGGACTGGCATAAGGGGGGATGCATCGACCTGGAACCGGCGATACATCGCAGATGGATCGGCGATAGGCCCCTGGTAGTGGATCCGCACCTTCCTGGGCGGGTTGGGGCTATCAGACCCCTATCGGCGATCAGTGGGCGATTGGGGGTCGATGCATCCCCCCCTATGCCTATCCCCCCGTATCGTTGCCCCTGATATGGGGACACCACGAGGGGACACCCCTGGCAACCGCAGGCCAGCCTGGAGGGGGCGTCTTTTGGTCTGGCGGCGCCCTAGACAGGAGGGTTCATTCCTCTCGCCCGCTCACGCAACTTCGCCTCGCCCGCACGCACGACACGAACACGTAAACGAAACCGATTTCGCGAAACCGATTTCGCGGTGGAAGCTCTTCGTCCCACTTCGATCTCACCCCCCCAACCTCCAATTCACCGCCAGTCGAGGTCTGCGAAAATCGACCCTCCAGGCGGTGGTATTGTATGAATCCTCGCCTCGGAATCAGTCAGCACGGGAAATCAAATCGGATCGAAACCTTCGTCGGATCGGACGGCATGGGCACAGAACCGGAATCGAATCGGATGGGCCGCGCCAAGACGCACAGCAGCGCCGTGCAAGCGTCGGGCCGAATCAGACCGTCAGGACATCGGAGTCGAATCGAATCGAGGGTTCAGGAATCGATATCGACTCGGATCGACTGAGGGAGCGGGAGCGGGAGACTGCGTAGGAGGCATGCAAGGCGAACGCGAGTGTCCAGATGGGTCCACCACACAGGTCGCGACGGAGCTGATGGCAAACCGCCGATTCAGTAATCCTGTCACCTCCGACCGATTGCGATTGGTGATCCATGTCAATCAGTAAACTCAATTGCCTTCTTTTCGGCCAGCGCCGGCTGAGAAACCGAGTCACGATAACAGAGCGCGTCTTAGCTACACTCTGCCGACTGTGATGCGATCTCTACCCCTGAGAAGAAATCCGCCATCGTGCCCCTACTATGGCACGATGTGGAGTGTCCCCGGGTTTCCTGCTCAACCTCGAGGATGGACAGACCCCCTTTAGTAAAACGTGGTTTAGTGAAAACGACCTAAGGCCCAAACCTGGCGGGCGCAAGCCTGGAAAATAACGGCCACGGCGCTCAACCAGGTCCCTTGCTCAACCCCTGAAGGGCCCGGACCCCTAGCTCTCAAACCTCTCGGGGCTTACCGCGTGCCTCTGGGGCGTGTCGCGTCCTCTCGCGTGACTTGTTCGGGCCCGAGGGGGCCCCAAGACGGGCCAGGAGGCTCCCAAGTCGGTCCAAGAAGGCTCCGAATCGCCGAACGATCGGTCCACGACGCCAAGGATGGCCTCGAGTCGGCCGAAAAAGCGCCCAAGACGCCTGGGAGGCCTCCGAGCACCCCGACCAGGGCCCGGAGAGGCCAAAACCAATGATTTCCCCTTGGCTGTTCACTGCTTTTTGGAATTATGGAATTCCTCTAGCTTGCAACGCTCCAAGACGTCCCGGCCAACACGGCCGGAGCGGTCCCCGAGAGGGTCCCAAGACGGCCCAAGAGAGCCCCAAGACTGCCAAAGAGACGCTCAAGACGGCCCCAGAGGGCCCCAAGACGGCCACAAGAGTTTTGTTGCTCCAATCGTACTTAAAGACAACATCCCATACATAATTTCTAGCACCCAGAAAAGTATCGAAACAATGTCGAACGAGTGTCGCCTCCCAGGGCCCGACACGTGAAATCCCTCCACTGCCGTTCCTTTCTTGGTGCTCGAAATTCTTCCTGGCGATCAAGGCGACAGAAAGTATGAACATCATAACCCAAGAGGGGCCCAAGAGAGGCAGCCCGAGACTGACAATTCGAGCCCTCCATCCTCCGATGCCCCCCGGGGGGACCCGAGAGCCGCAGAGGCTCCCAGGAGGCCACGACGACGCCCCGAGAAGCCCCAAAAACGGACCCCCGAGAGGCCTCGGAACTGCCTCCACGAGGCCCCCGAGAGGCCTCCCGCGATATCCCAACGATCGATCATCCCAGAAGTTTATGGCCAACATTGGCGGAGCGCACAGGGGGGGGAGGGGGGGAAAGGCTTCTTAGAAGCAGGGGTGCTTCGAACTAGCCTTCCTCCCTCCCCCTACCGCCCCCCTACGCGTGGCCGACAACAGCCCAGGCACGGTGGCGGGATGGGCCGCAAGCAATTCGAGAAAGGCAGTGGCTGTACAAACGACGGCTCCCATAGATAGGCCGCACTCTCGCAAGGCAGATGTCAGGATGGATAAAAACGCACAGGTGCAGCGACCGACACTGTGAGCCTGGTCACAAAAATCAGATCTGTCTGCCACCGCCGGGTTCTCCTGACCCGGCGAGGTGTGGGCTCAACCTTGGCTGAGTGGGTCTCTCTGCAGGCATCTCGGGAAGCACACGGGGACCCTTGGAGCGAGGGCACCTCTGGAATCACCACGCCCGCGGGCGCGTATGGCTCGCTGGCGGCGGAACTCCTCAGGCCCTCTTGCCACCGCGACGGCCCCTCGCGCTGCTGCCAGCCTCGGCGCGCGGCTCCGACGGCCTCTGCCGAGCCAGCTGGATGCGGCGCTCCCTCTGGCGACGCTTGAGCTCGCCCGGCTCACACAGGTGGCAAAACTGGCAGCCGACCCCGTTGGCACAGCCCTTGGTGAACGCGTGGGCGCACGGCCTGCACGCCCCCTGGCAGTGGAGCGCCGAGCCGACGGTGGGGCACTCGGGCGAGCCCAGCGGCGCGTGGGCGGGGGCAGAGGGCGCCGCCGCGGCCTCGGCCATCAGCGCGGCCGGGGGCGGCGCCACCGGCGGCGGCGGCATGAAGGAGAGGGGCGCCCAGCGCGCCAGCGCCACGGGCGAGCCCCAGGCCTCGTCCTCGGCGCGCGACATGAACGCGGCGGGCGCGGGCAGGACGCCGTCCTCGTCCTCCTCCGCGGCGCGCTGCGAGCAGACGGCCGGCGTCGGGACGAAGTCGTCCTCCTCGTCGTCGCCGCCGTGGGCCTCGAGCCGGGCCGCCACCTCGGACAGGGCCACCCAGGCGCCCGGCAGGCCGAGGCCGCTGGAGGGGCAGGACCGGGCCCTGCGCTCCGCCAGCGCCTCGTCCACCATCGAGGACAGCCGGCCGGCCACGGTGTCGATGAACGTGTTGCGCACGGAGAACTCGGGCGCGGCGTAGGCGAGCTCCGGCAGCGCCGCGGGGGCCGCCGAGCTGGCGCGCGTGGAGGCGCCGGCGGAGGTGCTCCTGGACGCGGAGGAGGAGGCGGGCTCCTCCTCCTCCTCCCCGCGGCGGCCGCCGGGGCCGCGGCCGCCCGCGCACCCGCTGCCCGGGCACGAGCGCGCCGCGCGCGGCGCGAAGGCCGAGGAGCCCAGCAGCGAGGAGGGCTCGAGGTGCGCCGGGACCACAAACGTGTTCTTGACCAAGAAGGGCAGCGGCTCGTCCGGCAGCGCGGACAGCGGAGAAGGGTACTCGATCTCCGGCATCCCCGCGGGCGCGGAGCTGGCGGCGGCCCGGTCGGCGCGAGCCGCGGAGAGCAGGGACATCATGGCCCGCGGGGGAGGAGGGCGTGTGCGTGCGCGTGCGCGCTGAAGAGAACGCTCTCGGAGGTCCTGAGCCTCAGGCCAGCGAGGCTCAAGATGGCCCTACGATGGCCTCCAGACGTCCCAAGATGGATCCATGACTGCCCTGGCTGGCCTCGAGGCGGCCCTAGAGGCCCCGTGCACGGCCCAAGAAGGCTCCAAGAAGCTCTCCCCGAGGGACCGAAGAGGGCAAACGAGTGTAATGTTATATACTTGTAGTTACAACTTTGAACTATGTTGTCGCCTTTCTGGTTTTCCGACAGCCCCAGACAGCCCCAGAGGCCTCCAAGATAGATCCCAGACGGCCCAAGAAGCCCTCTCAGAGAGGCCCCCCCAAGACGGCCGCCGAAAGCGTTAGACGGGCCTAGAAGAGCCTCAAGATGGCCCAAGAGGCTCCCAGAGACCACAAAGAAGCCCCCAAGAGGCTCAGAAAGCCCCAAGAGGCCCCTCAGAGGCTCCCAACAGGCCCCAAGAGAAAGCTCAGGAAGCCACTATGAGGGCACGAAGAAGTCTCCCAAAAGGCCTCCGGAAGGTCTCCTCCTTCTGCTCCTCCTCCTCCTCCTCCTCCTCCTCCTCCTCCTCCTCCTCCTCCGCCTCCGCCTCCGCCTCATTCTCCTCCTCCTCCTCCTCATCCTCCTCCTCCTTCTCCGTTTCCTTCTCCTCCTCCTTCTTCTCCATCACTTTTCCTCCTCCCTGTCGCACCCCGAGACTTGTCGGTAGGGTGGGCTAGGCGTTTCGCCTGAGACTTCCTCAACATTGATGATCCTGAGGCCTGAACTGTACAACCGCTTCACGGATGGAGAGCGGCTCGTTGTCAAAGTGTAGCAATCATTTAGCGCCGCGCGCACTCGTCTTAGAAATGTAACAGCTTTACGGATGGAAGGCGGTTCGATTTCAGCATGTGGCTCTCGCCTCAGCGCCACGCACATTCGTCGTAAAAGTTCGCAACAGCTTCACTGATGGAGGTAGTGCTGCGCACATTCGATTCGCAAAAGGTTCACTGATGAAGGGCGGTTCCTTTTCAAAATGTGGGTCGCGCCGCGCACATCTTGTTCTCAAAGTTGGCAGCTGTTTAAGGATTCGCATGGTTGGTGTCCAAGGACAGGTGTTCTGGCACGGTTTAGGACTGTCAGGACACAACGGTCAAGTTGATTCGTGGAGTTGAAGTCAGAGGAATGGTGCCTGGTACGATGTGGGATCGTCAGGACGCAACAGTCACGTTGACCCGCGGAGTTGATGTCCTCCTCCTCCTCCTCCTCCTCCTCCTCCTCCTCCTCGTCCTCCCCTCTCCTGCCTCTCCTCCAAAATCTCCTCCTCCTCCTCCTCCTCCTCCTCATCCTCCTCCTCCTCATCCGCCTCCTCCGCCTCCTGCTCCTCATCCTGCTCCTTTTCCTGCTCCTCCTCCGCCTCCTCCTCCTCCTCGTCCTCCCCTCTCCTGCCTCTCCTCCAAACTCTCCTCCTCCTCCTCCTCCTCCTCCTCCTCCTCCTCCTCCTCCTCCTCCTCCTCCGCCTCTCCTCCTCCTCCTCCTCCTCCTCTGCCTCCTCCTCCTCCTCCTCCTCCCTGATTCTCCCCCAAGTGGTTCCCCAAAGGGCTTCCACAACTGCGGGGGAGGAATCTCGTTTCATAGCTTGGCCAGACGTTGGCACATAGTCAGGCTGCATGGGCGCCTCCACAAGGCAGGGGGCGGCGGTTGTTCGCCGAAGGCGTCTTCAAGACTGCCGCCCTCGGACAAGAGCCGCCACTGCCCCTTGCTCTCGTGTCGTACCCTGTCCCTTGGGCGACGAGAAGCAGCGGGCCTCCCGCGAGAAGGAAAGAGACCCCACGCCGCGGTCTGCAGGGCCACCAGCGTGGCCCACCGCGCGGAGAAGAGGGCGCTCACGCGCGACCCTGCGCGGGAAGCTTGCGCGCGATTGTCCGCGCAGTCGGCCTTCCGTCGCTCACTCGCGTCCACGCTGTGCGCTCTCGGGGTCGGCGGGCCTGGCCGCCAGGCCTCGGCGGCGACCCGTGGGGAGGGCAGGACACCGCACAGGGAGGAGCGGGAGGGCACGTGCGCGCGCACACGGCGCGCGTCGCAGCGGAGCGGATGGCAAACCGCCGAGTCGGTGATCCACGAGGCCTCAGGCCGACTGCGACGGGCCATCCACGTGGCTCAGCGAGCTCAGTTGTCTTCTTTTTTGGGGAGGCGCTGACTGAGAAACGGAGTCACCATCACAACAGAGTGCGTCTTAGCTGCGCTCTGTCGACTGCGACGCCATCTCTACCCCTCAGCCGAAATCCGCCGATCCCCGCTTGCCGGGGGTGACAAGGCGAGTGAGACATTTAGCTTGTCCCCCTCCCCCTTTCCCCCTCGACCGGGGTCCAAGGCGCCGTGGGAGGGGGAGGAGAGGGCTCCCCCAGGGGCCCATGAGCTCGTCCACGCTTCTACATGGGAGCTGTTGGAGCCCCCCAGAGAGCCCCAAGACGGCCCAAGAGGGCCCGACCAGAGCGCCAACATTGTCCAGGAGAGCGTCGAGCCCGAAGAGGGCCCACAAGTGCTCTCAGAGGACCGCCGAAGGGGCCCCGATAAGCAGAAATCGTATCATCCCCTAGGGCCTAGAGGGAACGTACATGTTTAGCATAACTCGCCTTCTTCGTCGTGACAGCATCCACAACGGCCCAAGGGGCCCCAAAGATCGTCCCAAGACGGCCCACGAGGCCCCCAAGGGGACCCCCAGACGGCCCAAAAGGGGTCCAAGACGGCCCTGGGGGTTCCCAAGACGGCCCAAAAAGAGCACCAAAATGGCCCCAACAGGGGCCCAAGAGGGGGAACACGAATTGACAACTCGAGCCTTTGCCCCAAGATGGCTCCCAAGGCACCCCTCGGAGGCCCCCGTGGCGCCCCCAAGAGGCCCCCGAGGCACCTCCCCTGGAGGCCCCCGAGGCGCCCCCCAAGCGGCCTAACTTTGGGGGCTGGCGGAATGGCGCAAGCCACTTGAATAAAGGCAGTGGCTGTACAAACGACGGCTCCCATAGATAGGCCGCACTCTCGCAAGGCAAATGTCAGGATGGATGAAAACGCACAGGTGCAGCGACCGACACTGTGAGCCTGGTCACAAAAATCAGATATGTCTGCCACCGCCGGGTTCTCCTGACCCGGCGAGGCGTGGGCTCGATCAACCTTGGCTGAGTGGGTCTCTCTGCAGGCATCTCGGGAAGCACACGGGGACCCTTTGAGCGAGGGCACCTCTGGAATCACCACGCCCGCGGGCGCGTATGGCTCGCTGGCGGCGGAATTCGTCAGGCCCTCTTGCCACCGCGACGGCCCCTCGCGCTGCTGCCAGCCTCGGCGCGCGGCTCCGACGGCCTCTGCCGAGCCAGCTGGATGCGGCGCTCCCTCTGGCGACGCTTGAGCTCGCCCGGCTCACACAGGTGGCAAAACTGGCAGCCGACCCCGTTGGCACAGCCCTTGGTGAACGCGTGGGCGCACGGCCTGCACGCCCCCTGGCAGTGGAGCGCCGAGCCGACGGTGGGGCACTCGGGCGAGCCCAGCGGCGCGTGGGCGGGGGCAGAGGGCGCCGGCGCGGCCTCGGCCATCAGCGCGGCCGGGGGCGGCGCCACCGGCGGCGGCGGCATGAAGGAGAGGGGCGCCCAGCGCGCCAGCGCCACGGGCGAGCCCCAGGCCTCGTCCTCGGCGCGCGACATGAACGCGGCGGGCGCGGGCAGGACGCCGTCCTCGTCCTCCTCCGCGGCGCGCTGCGAGCAGACGGCCGGCGTCGGGACGAAGTCGTCCTCCTCGTCGTCGCCGCCGTGGGCCTCGAGCCGGGCCGCCACCTCGGACAGGGCCACCCAGGCGCCCGGCAGGCCGAGGCCGCTGGAGGGGCAGGACCGGGCCCTGCGCTCCGCCAGCGCCTCGTCCACCATCGAGGACAGCCGGCCGGCCACGGTGTCGATGAACGTGTTGCGCACGGAGAACTCGGGCGCGGCGTAGGCGAGCTCCGGCAGCGCCGCGGGGGCCGCCGAGCTGGCGCGCGTGGAGGCGCCGGCGGAGGTGCTCCTGGACGCGGAGGAGGAGGCGGGCTCCTCCTCCTCCTCCCCGCGGCGGCCGCCGGGGCCGCGGCCGCCCGCGCACCCGCTGCCCGGGCACGAGCGCGCCGCGCGCGGCGCGAAGGCCGAGGAGCCCAGCAGCGAGGAGGGCTCGAGGTGCGCCGGGACCACAAACGTGTTCTTGACCAAGAAGGGCAGCGGCTCGTCCGGCAGCGCGGACAGCGGAGAAGGGTACTCGATCTCCGGCATCCCCGCGGGCGCGGAGCTGGCGGCGGCCCGGTCGGCGCGAGCCGCGGAGAGCAGGGACATCATGGCCCGCGGGGGAGGAGGGCGTGTGCGTGCGCGTGCGCGCTGAAGAGAACGCTCTCGGAGGTCCTGAGCCTCAGGCCAGCGAGGCTCAAGATGGCCCTACGATGGCCTCCAGACGTCCCAAGATGGCTCCATGACTGCCCTGGCTGGCCTCGAGGCGGCCCTAGAGGCCCCGTGCACGGCCCAAGAAGGCTCCAAGAAGCTCTCCCCGAGGGACCGAAGAGGGCAAACGAGTGTAATGTTATATACTTGTAGTTACAACTTTGAACTATGTTGTCGCCTTTCTGGTTTTCCGACAGCCCCAGACAGCCCCAGAGGCCTCCAAGATAGATCCCAGACGGCCCAAGAAGCCCTCTCAGAGAGGCCCCCCCAAGACGGCCGCCGAAAGCGTTAGACGGGCCTAGAAGAGCCTCAAGATGGCCCAAGAGGCTCCCAGAGACCACAAAGAAGCCCCCAAGAGGCTCAGAAAGCCCCAAGAGGCCCCTCAGAGGCTCCCAACAGGCCCCAAGAGAAAGCTCAGGAAGCCACTATGAGGGCACGAAGAAGTCTCCCAAAAGGCCTCCGGAAGGTCTCCTCCTTCTGCTCCTCCTCCTCCTCCTCCTCCTCCTCCTCCTCCTCCTCCTCCTCCGCCTCCGCCTCCGCCTCATTCTCCTCCTCCTCCTCCTCATCCTCCTCCTCCTTCTCCGTTTCCTTCTCCTCCTCCTT